CATGGTATATGACACATAACTGGATTTTTGTTCATTTATTTGGCTATTCACTTTAAGCCCAGGGTACTGATGTGATCAACTTTGTGTTCTTACGAATGAAGTATGTAGTCCCCACTTAAATCTAGGTGAATTCACTCCTGGAATTCAAATATGTTGTCTACACTGAAGACTAAAGGCTGAAAGTCTCTCACAACCCACCATGTAGCCGTTCAGGGGAGCACTCATCCTAAAAGGAGAAAGAATTAGGTAGTAAAACCTGACGCAGTAACAAAACTGTAGCCACCAGGGTGTAGGCAAAGTTCTGAGGCACATGGTGTTTGTCATGAGGCCTTGTCCTTGATCTAGTCCTATGAGCCTCTCTCTGAATCCAAAAGTTATATTAAGTAGACTCTTTTGGCTGCAAGGAGTAAAAATTCATGATCTCTAGTAATGCAAGTTTATTATAAGCTACACCAGACCAGGGAGATTGGCATCAGCAGAGAACTTGTTAGAAATGCAAATTCTTGAGTCTCACTTAGAACCATGGAATCAAAATCTCTGAAGGTGGAGCCCAGCAACCTGTGTTTTAACAAGCCATTCAAGTGATTCTGATGCACACTAACATTTGAGAACCCCTGGGATATAAGGGATATAACATTTGAGAACCCCTGGGATATAAGGGAGTAAAGGATTTCCTAGGATCCCAACAATAGCCACACCTCACAGAGTCTGGAACATGGATTGGGTACTGGAACTCTATTCAGAATCCACGTTGTCTTCTTAGCAATAGGAGTTAATTGCCATTCACTTGAATGCTCCACTGTAAACAAGATTCAGACTGTTGGAAATTGAAGAGGGATATTGATGCTTTTAGATGGCACATAGCCAAGAGTCTCAGGAATCCCAAATCCAGCTCTGCTAATCACTTGTATTACACGAGAAGAACAGCAGTGAAATCGGTGTAGGGTGTGTATTACTTTATTGAAAGCTATACCAGCACCTGTAGTCTCCCAAGGCAGAGCTCTGGCACAAGTTGTGCTGGAGAGTGCAGTAGATCTAGGCGGAGTCCACACATCCAACTTGCCATTCTGTTCATGGTAGATATAGCTCGTTGTCTACACAATATCAATTCTGTCCTTTACGTTACCAACAGAAACCCTGTGTCGTTGGCTATGTCAATATTCCTAATTAAAAATAAACTGCATTACCCATTTTTCTTTCAGGTAGGAGTGGCCAATGAGACACAAGAAGTTATTGGGTGAGATTTCCTAGAAAGCCCTTGTGTTTTCTTCTTTCTGTGCCTGAACTTGGATGTTGTGGTTGGAGCTCCAACTAGGAGGGAGAAGCCAAGAGAATCTCAAAGCCCTTACCCTGAAAGTTTTGAGTACTTGAAACCACACCAACTACTCTGCTCCAGGCTTCTCATTATGGGAGAAAGGTAATTTCTGTACGTCTTTAAGTCACAATGCTTGGGCCACTATTATTGGAAACTGAGTGCAATTACTATCTGATAACTTGCCCACAAGAAGGGCCCTGAATCTGTTTGCCCATCAAAGCATGTAAGTGGAACAGAGAGAAGGTCAGCCTGTTCTCTGTCCAGGTTTGCTTGTCACGAAGAGGCAGAAAACAGGAAGTGCAAGAGATGAAACAGCAGGAAGGATGTCTCAGCTTCCTGCATTTTAAAGTATATTTTGTCCACTCATGATTGTCAAAAGGATGTGGGCAGAGTGGTACTGGTGTGGGAGACGAGGTTGAAGATTGTCTCACACAGCTCTTATTTCTGTTTCTCTATCTTTAAATTTTGCTCCTTTTACTAAGTGATCCTGCTACCAGTTCTCTCTGTGTCTTACATTCAGAAAGAGAATCTAAGTTGTCTAGTGGTCACATAGCAAGCTGCTTCCTAAGATGCCAGCCAATTTAAGGATTGGCTGTCTTTGGGTTAGATGACCACCCCTGGTCCAGTCAGCTTTGGTACCAACATGGAATCTTGTGATTAGGGACATACATAAGATCATTTTCCTCAGCAGGGACCTGTGGGTAGGAATTCCTTTAGAGGGAGCTCTGGACCCCTTCTTAGGCTTCATTTTGTCCACTAATATGAATTAAGCAAGAGGAGGTTTTAAGTGAAAGCTGATAAACCTGTAAGACATTGGATGATAATCAGCCTTGCTCTGTTTCTCTCTAACATAAAAAAGTAAGAGGACATTGTGCACTGACACTTTGGGGGTCTTCTATCTAGCAGAGGCCAGGGAGATAGTGCGGACATGCTGATTCCCAGATAGCAGATTGGAGAGGGAAGTATGTAGGGAGAGAGGCAGAGCCAGAGCCAGAGCAGAGGGCAATGATGGATAGAGCCTGTGCATGGCTATAAGACATTGCCAGCGCCTTTAAGACATTTCCTATGGCACTCTTTTCACAGTTTTTTCCCCTGGAATGGGGGTCCCGGGGGGAAGATACTTACCAGGGGCTCATCACAGGGGAAAATTTCTGTAAAATTAGTGTTTTATGTTGAAAAAATCATGTAAGTCATGTAACTTTGCATACTATACTGCTACATTTCTCATAATTCAAAACATTGATTCAAGTTACTTATTCTTCTCCAATGATCTTTGATTAAAATTAAACTTCCAAGAATATGTATTATGTACATCTCAGTAGAGACGTAAGTACCCCTAAGTTACGTGTGTCCTGATCTGAAAAGTACAATTCATGGGGATGCCAAATGATTCAGACAGACTTTGTGGGGATTTGAAGGTCCTACAATTGCAAGTGGTTGTAAAAGCCAGCAAAACACAGATAATAGGAGGATAATATGTGTTGCCTGTAGGTTCCACCGGAGTGGTTAGAGATTTTTGGTGAAGATATTTACACTGGACAAAGGGAGACAATGAGAACCTGTCAGAGCAGGGCCGGCAGGGACTATTTGGTTGCCAGGTGGAGAGACTCACAGAAACTGTCTGAAAGAAAGTATGATGAAGATGATGATGCTGATGAAGATGAAGATGATGATGATGAAGATGATGATGATGATCATGATGGTGATGGTGGTGGTGGTGGTGGTGACGGTGGTGGTGGTGATGGTTATGGTGATGGTGGTGGTGGTGGTGATGGTGATGGTGGTGGTGGTGGTGGTGATGGTGATGGTGGTGGTAGTGACGGTGATGGTGGTGGTGGT